TGTGTGTGTGTGTGTGTGTGTGTGTGTGTGTGTGTGGCCAGCTCAGCCCACCAGGGGCCGGGGCTGGCTGGCTTGTGGTGCTGGGGGATTGAACCGCGGTCCCTGTGCTTTGCTAAGCTTGTTCTAAGTAGGTACTTTAGACCACTGAGCCATCTCACCAGCCCCATTTTATTAATTTTTTTTTTTTTTTTCGGAACTGGGGATTGAACTCAGGCCCCTGCTCTTGCTAGGGAAGCACTTATTCCACTGAGCCATCTCCCTGGACTTATTTTTTCTTTTGAGACAGGGTTTCACTAAGTCACTCATTTGTCCAGGCTGATCTCAAACTTTCAGTCCTCTGCCTCAGCCTCCCAAAGTGCTAAGATTACAGGCCTGTGCCACCATGGCTGATTGATTTGTAAGTTATTTGTCTACTTTTTATTTTATTGATTTCTGGTTTTGGTTTTAACTTTTCTACCATTCTTACTGGTTTTTCTTTTTCTATGTTTTGGAGGTGAAACTTTTTAAAAACTTTTTAGTCATAAACTCTACCTTTAAGTACTGCATTTACTGTATCCTAAAACTGTTGCTTTTGTTTTGTTTTGCCTTTTGGAGACAGGGTCTCGCTGCGTATTGAACTCCTGATGATCCTCCTGGCTAGGCTCCCAAGTGCTCGGATTACAGGCGTGTGCCACTATGCCTGCTTCCATTATGCTGTGTTTTTTATTATTCCAACTAAAAATATTTTCTAGTTGGGTATGGTGCTGCATGCCTATAATCCCAGCATCCTGGGAGACTTAGGCAGGAAGATTGCAAGTTTGAGTCCAGCCTGGGCAACTTTTTTTTTGCGGTACCAGGGATTGAACTCAGGACCTTGCACTTTCTAGGCAGGCGCTTACTCTACTGGGCTATCTCCTCAGCCCCAACTTTGTATTTTTTTGTGTTTCATTTTCATTAGCTTTATTGAGATGTAATTTTTAAAAAATAAAACCGACCGGGCCGGGGAGATGGCTCAGTGGAATAAGCGCTTCCCTGGCAAGCGCAAGGGCCTGAGTTCAAGCCCCAGTCACCAAAAAAAACAAAAAATAAAACCGACCCACTTTAGGTAAACCATCCCTGGATTTGATACCGGTGTAACGGTGTAACCATCACCACACTGAAGGTACCGCCTGTCCTTGTCGTCCTTCACATTTCTTCTGTGCCCTGTCGAAGTGAACCTCACGTCCACCCTGGCAGACACCAGCCCACTTTGTCACTGCAGTTTGGCCTTTGGTCACGTAGCATGTGGTGCGTGAGTCTCGGTCTCGCACTTAGGCTCATGCTTTTATAATTTATGATTGTTTTCACTTATTTGGGGTTATTTACTCTGCTGTTATCTTTTATAGTTTGTTGTTTTGTTTTTTGGTAATACAGGGAATTCAGCCTGGAGTCTTTTGGCACACTAGGCAAGCACTCTACCACTGAGCTACATTCTCAGCCTTTTTTTTTTTAAACCAGATTCTCATTACTTTTACCAGGCTGGCATTCAGTTTGAGATCTTCCTGCCTCAGCTT